TGGAAAGAAAAGGAGAACGAATAAAAGAGAAGAAGAAAGAAAAATGCTAAGGATTTAAAAGTAATCACTATTGTATTTTTCATTTAAAATATATGTGTATTTAATATACACTTTTATTTATTCAAAATGTATTTTTTTTTATTTTGAACCTTTAATAATTAAATTCAAAAGAAAAAAGAGAAAATAAGAAGTTTGTAATCAAAGTAAAAAGAAAAATGTAACAACTACAGCAAATAGTTTTTCTCAGGGTCAAAGATCTTTTCAACCGAAAGAAAAAAGAAAACACTTTATTTTCTATTATTATTATTTTTTTAAAAATGTATATCATTCTCATTAAGAAGATTAGTACATTGTTACATTCCTAAATGCGACGTTAACCACTTCTACCCTACTTCTATCTACTTTCGATACTAGACATATATGCATACATTGCACTATACTAAGGATATCATCCTTGAGGTCCGAGAACCACGGAGAAAACACTTTACAATTACTAGTATTCCTAGTATTCCGCATGTTGTACAAGTGTAAATCTGCCATTGCCAAAGTGAAACAGCACAACCAAACCACCACTTGTCAACTCAAAATCAAATTTCTTTTATGTTGCCTCGTAAAATTTTTTTTGGACTAACATTAGAGGATAAATACAACATTTTATACAGTATAAAAGCGATTGTGTAAAAAAAACACTTGTAAACTTGTCTTATTTAAAAAGGAGTGAAAGCTAAATTGAGTGGTACATATGGTTTTTTTTTTTGTTTTGTAAAACCTATATTTGGATCATTTTTTGAGTGTGTTTTTTTGTATTAGAAATATAAAAAAATGTATTGAAAATGTAAAAAGTTATGCTGGGATGAGACATATATTAATTAAAATTCTGAAAAAACTAACAAAAAAATGAACCAAACAGAGCCGGTTTTTAATAGTCAAAACCTATCACATTTTCAAGTAGTGTCCTACTTTCCACCATTTCTAATCTACTACTTCCTTCATTTCAATTTGTTGGTCGTTTTAGGTTTGGAGAGATTTTTCAAAATTTGGTCGTTTTATAAAATTTGGATAAATTAATTACTAATTTTTTAACTTTACCTTCAATAAATGATGTCAATTTATTTTCATTTATTCTTGTTTATACTTTCAATGTACTTAATGAAGATAAAATAGATATTTAACACATAAATTAATTGTAAGATTATTGTTTTCTTAGTTTACGTGAAAAATGTAAAAAGGTTTATATTTTAAAATGGATGGAGTATAATTTGTCCACTTTTTTTTGTTTTTGCCTGTTTGAGCCTGAACTCTCTTTCGGGAAAATGAACTGGTCAACCTTACAATCATTGCATGTCCATTATTGCCAGACTTCAAAGTTCCATAGGTTGACCTTTCAAGCTTAGACCGCACACTCCAGTGCTAAACTAATTTGTATAATATGGAAAATCGTATGTTTTATATTTGTTTTATTATTTATTTTTAGATAAATATATAATGAATGCAAAATGTGTGTTGACAGCGTAAAATTATTAATTTAATTTTTCTTTAAAAGAATGTACACAAGCAAAATAAATCGAAATACAAAAAATACACATGTAAAGTATCCCTATAACGATGTGCCCTAACATTAGCCTGAAAAGAAAGAAGTAGCCCTTTTTCATTTGCTGCTATTTTTAAATCTTCGATTTGTCAAAATCAGCTTTTCATAAAAGCGTCGGGCTCCAAAATAACAAATAATATAACCAAAAGTGGAACTGTGGAAGAATCAATAAATGCGGCTCTATTTTTCCAACATCTCTTTATATACTAAAATCTCCACTCCCCTCACCCCCAGTCTACCAAAAAACCTCAACCGGGTTCTTCTATAGTTAGCTCTACATTTTGTTATCACATGGTCCAGTCGGATTTACATATTTGATGAAGGTGAGAGTTCACTGATTTTCTTTTATTCCTTTTGGATCTTTAATGATTCTTTATTTCATTTGGATAATTTGTTTTTGTTCATGGGTTTTACTTGAACATACGGATGATGGAATTTTATTTTCTTTTTCCCCTTTCAAGAGATTTTCTTTTTACGGGCGATGCTGGATAAATCATTGGTAAATGGAGTCAAAGATTAGTATAAAAAAGGCGTACTTCTTGTCGACATGGTTTCATCGGAAAAAGGGTAAGGAACTGAAGTAGGGTGGAAACCTGGACTTGGTTAGTCAACTTAATGAAGGTAAGATGCGATTGATTCCATTCCGGTTTATTTGCTTTGTTTCATTTTTTTGTTTCATTATTATGGGATTTCAAATTCATTCTGCTTTTTCGAATTTATTGGATTTTATGTTTGATGGAGAATTGATGGGTTAGATTATCAGAAACAAACACTAGTTTGATTTAAATCGACAACATATCTTTATCATGTAAAACTCAAATCACTAGTTAATTGAGTCATAAATGAGGAAAAAATAAAAACAAAGTTTCCTACCAAAAAAGTACACCCTTGTTTTAATTCTTTCATAAAAAAAAAACAAACATACCCTAAATTGGTGTAATTATCAGCATGTTTTCTTTACCTAGTTACTTCTTGCGTGTCCGGAAAAAAAGCATAGTTGTTTTCTAAAAATTCGTCCTTTGCATGGTTGTTTTGTTAGAACTAGCGAAATGTTAATTAATTGGCCTGAAAAATATGTGCTCAAACAACTCTATCCTGAAAGAAAAGAGAACGTTTGCTGCTATGCCAACGAGGTAAAAAGTAAGGGGATGGATTTTTAAAGCACCCAAAATTAATACTCAAAGCCACCTTGAATAAAATTGGATGATTTTGCCCTTTCATTTAATACAGTAGAGAGAGAAAGAAAATGAGTAATTCAGAGGAAAAAAAAGAAAACTTAAAAAGGAACCGAACCGGTCAAGAAAACCGTCTCGGTTGAACCGGAGACGCGCAATAAACGCGTCCGGCCATTGAACCGGACCCGTACATTGCGCGTCCCCGGTTCAACCGGGACGCGTGTGTTGCGCGGCCGGTCCGGGTGAAATCAGACCGGACGTGCAACACACGCGTCCCGGTTGAACTGGGGACGCACAATATACGCGGTCGGTTCAATGGCCGGACGCATTAAACACGCGTCCCGGTTGAACCGGGGACGCGCAATGTATGCGTCCGGTTCAATGGCAACCGGACGCGTTTGTTGCGCGTCCTCGATTCAATCGGGACGCGTGTGTTGCGCATCCCCGGTTGAACCGGATTTTTTTTTAATTTTAATTTCATGTATGTTATGTTAATTTATTTGTTAATTTAATTAGTTATGTTAAGTAATTTAATTAGTTTAATTATATTTATTTATTGCATCTTATGTTAATTAAATTAAGTAGGAATATTTTTAATTTATTTGTTAATTTAATTAGTTATGTTAAGTAAATTAATTAGAAGATTTTGGTGGCGATGGTGAAGATTATAGTATATTGTTTGTTACAGATGAGGAATTTGCAAAAAAGGATGATGTTGTTGCTTGGGAGAAAGGCATGAGCATGGCAAATGGCATGCTAATAAATGTAGCTTCTAGCAAGAAGAAGAATGCTGTTCAGATGAAATGCTGTAAAGGGGGAAAGGTGTCAGTTGATGATAGTGAATACTATGTCACATCAGATTCGAAGACACAAATCACTGGGTGTAAATTTAAGTTATATGTGCACTTAGTGGATGGGAAGTGGCGCATTCGGGTGTATCCTGGTGAGTTTAGAATACATAACTACGAGCTGTTTGACGAATATCATCCCACGAGGGGCCTTAGCGATGGAGTGAAACAGCTTATACAGGGTATGTCCAAAGATGGATGCAGACCGTTTCAGATCATGGCTGCGATTGAGAGGATCTTTCCTGATGAAAAAGTTAACAGACGGCAAGTGTACAATTTCAGGAAGAAATTGCGTAATAAGGGATTCTCAGTATTGGGTGAATCGAGTGCCATGGATGCCGCGACGAAGATACTATCGGTGGCCAAGCATCATGGTTACATCATCATGACAGATTGCAATCAGGAGACAGGTGTGCTGACTCGTGTTTTTTTTGCACATCCTGATGTTGTCAATTTATTTTGCAGTTATTTCTGGGTCGTCGGGATACTCAACATACAAGACGAACAAGTACAAAATGTCGTTGGTTAAGTTTATTGGGATGATACCGTGCAACCAGAACTTCTTAATTGCATACGCCCTCTTGAGTGACGAGACTGCTGACAGTTATTATTGGGCTGTGAGACAGTTTAGGGATTTGCTACCTGGTTATCTGTCTCCGGCTGTTATTGTTACCGATCGAGAACCGGGGTTGATGGCGCCGCTGGGTGTGGTATTTCCAGATTTATGCCACTTGTGTGTTTGGCACGTTTATGAGAATGTAAAGCGACATCTCAATAAGGAATTGAAAATTGATGCCAAGATTGTAAATGGTTTTACATATGGGTTGTGGAAAGACGTTGTGGAAGCTAATAATCAGGTTGAGTACAATAAAGCTATTGCCGTAAAAACCGTCGTTGGCAGTCTTTTCTGAGAGTTCTTACTTATATCCAGAAGACATAGCTAGTGGTTGACTACAAATTCATCAAGGCATGGACGAATGTTGTGTTTCATATAGGCAACACTACTACAGGCAGGGTGGAGAGTGCGCACAAGCAGTTAAAAACCTGGCTGGAAACATCCACGGCGTCGTTGGATACACTTTGGGCTAAGGTGCACTTGGAAGTTCAGAGTCAGCTAATCGAAATACGACAAGTTCTATTCCATTATATTAGTAGTTATATTTATTATAATATATTTAGTATTTATTTTGTTTTTATGGCATTTTACGTAGAATGTTTTACAGTAAGTGGCTACATTCAGGTACAAACTGGAGTACTCAAGACAGAAAATTGGCACCCATTATTGCGGTTTTTCACTGAACTGCTTGAAATGTCAAGTTTCACATACTTGTTTGCAAAAGCTGAACACTGAGTGGTCGAGGGCGCAAGAGTGGAAAGAAGAAACGAATGACTGATGCGATCATGTGGTGTATTGGACTTGTCAAATTCCATGTGCGTGTGCCCTCAAAAAAGCTGCAGATGCCGGCACATCGATAACTCTTAAGCATATTCACCCATTCTGGGCGACCCTTAATATCGGTGAACAGGCTAGTACGAGTGCTCCTAGCGATGTGGATGACGAGGTCTTGTATACCAGAAAGTTGATGGAAGGGCTGAACGAGTGTCCTAAGGCAGTACGACGCACTGTAAATAGGGCTCTCCACGATATTATGCATCCAGACCAGTGTGGGTTTAAACAACCCGAGAAGGTCAAGAGATGGAAGGGGTGGCCTAAGGGGGCTAAATTAAAGAAAAAAGCAGAGGCCAGCATTCTTGCTCATGAACAATCCCTACAGAAAAAAGCCGAGGCCAGCACTCTTGCTCATGAACAATCCCTACAGGAAAAAGCAACACCTAATGAGTGGGATTACAGGGACGAGGCTCAAGGAAAGTCGACCACAGTTACTAGCGATTCAAGTAAGAAGCGCCCCTCGTCTTCATGTGGTCGTACAGATGCATCCACAGGTACATGTTAAGAAGTAATTGTTCAGAATCTTATTTATTTATTATCGTTTGTTCCAAATAACATTTTTTCCGTGTAATGTACATAGATCTTTGTGAGTGATATTTCACAGTATGGTTGCTACACCTCATTCCATGGCCCATTCGGCCATATATTACTAGTTACCTTGATGTTGGTGCTGATGGCAATTGTGGATTTCGCGTCATCGCGAGTAACATGTTTTTGAGCCAGGAGAAGTGGGCGATGGCGAGAGAGGCAATGGCAAACGAGCTAGAATAGAATAGGCATCTGTACATTAGAATCTACGTGTATAAATACTTCCCATTCTATGTTATGATGTTTGCTGAAATTGGCTGTAATTTGCACAAATAATTGTATATGTAATTGCAGGACGTCCTTACAGGAAGAAGTCCGTCGTATACGGTGGAGTGGACAGGGTTTTGCACCTGAGCGCCATTGGATGTGTGCGACGGACTTGTTCGTAGTTGCGACTATGAACAATGCAATTGTATACTATTTCGGTGCAGGGGAAGAGAACCAGTCGCTAAACTCCTCATGTTGGACTATACTACCAGTCACTGCACGCGTTGAGGCAACATGTTCGGCATTTGAGATTGGGGTACGTCACCATGGTATTTACAAGCATTTCATTCAGATCAATTTGGACGGTGACTTTCCAGTTCCACTGATTAATAATCGGTGGACTAAGGAACATCAGCCTAGTGTTGCTGGTTGGGAATTACCACTTCTTCCTAGAATCAAGATTGGTATAGGTTGGTCCCCTCCAATCCTGGACGTCCTATCGGGGATTATGCTAATGATTTCATTGATCTTAGTATCTTAGATTAGATTCATGTTTGTTTGTTTGTTGTGAACTAGATATTGGCATTATCTAGTATCTAATTTGTTTGTTTTTTTAATTTGTGAAATAACGAACGTTGTTGGCCATACTAGCAAAAAAAAAAACCTTACTACAGGGACACCAAATAAGCTAACTAATATATAACACACAATTCCATCATACCATAAAAAAAAATTAAATGCAGTCCAAGAGAGAGAAAAACAAACAAATCCAGTCCAATAATACAACAATGATCATGGGGCCTTGGAATAACGGATCATCGTATCCTGCAGCTTCTTATCATATTCGTTAGCCAGGTCGCGATCAGATACTTTGACCTTTCGAATCAGGTCCCTTGTCAGCTTCCTCAATTCATTTATCCACTGAAAACACAAAAACCAAAAAAGGTTAAACTATTTATAATATAGAAATGTATATCTACAAAAACTCAAAAAATTAAAAATACAACTTACATAATCCTGACTGCTCCTAGCTGGTATAGAGACTGCAGATGGGTCAGTTGTCGGCAGCAGAAATGGATGTGAATACTGCCTGTACCATTCAAGGTACCCATCCTCACACTCTCCTACGATGTCACCGTTATAATTGTATCGCCATCTGGTCAAATGAAGACACGCTGACTCCGGGAATCTCCTCCAAGTACTGAGTGTGTCAACAACAGAATGCTATACAAAGTACTGGGTAGTCTTGGGTCCTCGGATTGCATCATCAGGGGACATGGGCGAACGATGAATGCTCTGTACGTAGCCAATTTGACGTATACATCTGTCCGGCATGTATGGCTCCTGCAAGTTCCTATACATTATCCACCCACTGTAGATAGTCCTAGGAACTATTCCTTGTTGGCCAGGTCCAAATGGCTCCCACTTTACCTGCAAAATAGTATTTAGATTATTTATAAATATAATTTTCAAAAAATAAAATGAAATACAGTCAAATGAAGCAATCAAGTACCTCTAACTCGGTGAAACGGTCGAGATGCTCCCTAACCTGACGAAAACGATCTGGCACAGATGTCGGCCCCGCAAAAGATCGTAGTATCCAGCCATGTACTCTGGGTCTGTCATTACCCTCACGGGTAACTCGCCCTCCCTGGGGGCAGAAAATCGGGAAATACTCGTATATCCAGGCCTGCAGTAGGGTCAAATAACCACCTAACTAAGTGCAATTTGCCCTACTAGCCATCTCTAACTAATGGTATAGGAACGCAAGCGTAGCAGAGCCCCACGAGTATGAACCCATATCCTCGATCACAGCCATCAGCTCATGTACAAGTGAAACACTGCACCTCCCACCACTCTTGCCCATGAACAACGTCGAGGCCAACAATACCCACAAGAAAGCAGAGGCCTGGGTATTCTCGTCCGCTTTCTGGCATCGCTCAAGGATGAACCAATCAGAGACACCGCCATGACTCCATTTGTAACCATTCACATCGAGGCCAATTATCCCTGCTGCATGTCTCCTCAACAAATCGGACGTAGCTGACACCAACTCTCCATCGACCCCAATGCCCAAAATATGATAAACATCATGCATCATGATGGTCATCTCCCCCAAACGGGAAATGAAATGAGTTGGTGTCCGGCCGCCACCTCTCAACAAATGCCTGAACTAAGCCAAGATCAATATCTTCATACGAGGTATGAAGAAGGTGACCCAATCCAGTCCCCCGAATCTTGCCTCTCACTACATCATCCATATCTTTATACCACATCTTCAACTTATTCAGAATCTTTTTGCCTTTAAAAATCTTCAATGTGGGTCTATTGTATCCATGCCAGAAATAATAAGCAATATGCCCAAGGAAGCTAGGAATCACGCTACCATCTATCGGCCCACCAGGTACTTCATCTGTCACTAGCCATGTAGTCGGATCAATTTCATCCGAAACTCTCGACTGGCTGCTGCCGCCTGTACTATGAATGAGTAAGCCAAATATTATTTATTACATTTTATACACATCCAACAATTCAATAAATATAATTAAAAATATTTAATTGCTTTATAATTACAGAATATTAAATAATTACAACAATTAAATATAGATATTTGGTACCTGATGATACAGTAGTGGTAACTGGACGTGTAGATACTCCAGTGGATCCGGGACCTCAGCTAGAGCCCACGGGATCAATAAGAGGGGGAGGACGTGTAGATACTCGAGCGGAGACGGGACCTCCGCGAGGGGGCACGGGATCAATGTAGGGGGGAAATGCCTGAGCGGGGCGGGGGGGACGAGGCTGACTACTGGTGGATATACCTTTGGGAATTCACCCGGATGCGGGAAAGAGGGACTATGATATGGACTGCGCCACTCACCACTCATAGGAGAAGGGATAGGGGTAGGGGGAGAGGGTAAACCGCGAGGACCAGGACGGGGACAACTGGAGTACCGAGGAGGAGGGTAACTACTAAGATTGTACATAGGCGTATCTCTGTGATGTGCACCCATCCTAACACTGTCCTGCACATCATCCTCATCAAACTCATTCTCCTCATCATCCTCATCCCCTTCTTCCAAGTCGTCCTGAGAATACTCGGGTATATGAATCGGCTGACTAGACCGAGTCTGAAGTGGTACACCCCCTATAGTGACCTGAGTCATTTTCATTCGTTTTTTTTTCTCTTTTTCCTCTTTTTTCTTCCAACGACTCATGGTCAGATAACGCGCACGAACCTTACGCTTACTACTATCTTCAGTATCACTAGTATCACTATAATCATCATCATCACAATAAACCTATAAACAAAATTTTATTCATCGTCATCATATTTTCATAGTCTAAATAAATAATTATACACATATCCTAAATCCTAAATAGTTTAATAATGAAGTACAATTCATATAATAATTAAGTAAACTAAAGTACTTTACCAACTTTTTAATTAAATTACTATTTAATTAATTAAAAATACTCAACTATTTTGCAAAATATTTATATTAATTTAATTAATCATGAACTACTTTACACACAATTTAAATTAGCTTTACTAATCTACTATTACTTAAATTATAAATAATTTAATCAATTAAACTAATTAGGTAGTGAACTAATTTATTATTAATGAAATTGATTTTTAATATTCAACTAATTTACATACTATTTAAATTAATTTAATCAATCAAAATGAGTAACTTTACTAATCTACTAATAATTAAATTAAAAATATAACCTAAATACTTTAATAACTAATTAAATTAATGAGTAAATCAATTAAACTAATTAGGTAGTGAACTAATCTACTATTAATTAAATTAGTTTTTAAAATTCAACTAATTTACATACTATTTAAATTAATTTAATCAATTCAAATGATTAACTTTACTAATCTACTAATAATTAAATTAAAAATATTACCTAAATACTTTAATACTTTAATAACTATTTAAATTAATGAGTAAATCAATCAAACTAATTAATGAACTAATCTATTATTAATCAAATTAAATTATTTACACAATTAAATTAAATAACCCATCTAAATCACAAACTATTAATTAATAAAAAACTACTTACTAACCCTAATTACATTAAATCAAACATAATTAAATACTAACATTGAATTAAACAACTTAAAAAAAAATTAACATTCTGGCCGCCGGACGGCGACGAAAGCCGGCCGGCGGCGCGACCAGGACGCGCTGCCGGACGCCTTTCTTGGCCGTCCAGCGGTCACACAACATTAAAAAAAAAAAAGAAATCCATCCCGCCGGACGGGCAATGAAGCCGTCCGGCGGCACGACCGGGACGCGCAAGCAACGCATCCCGGTTTAACCTGGAACGGGCATTTTGCTCGTTCCGATATGAACCGGGACGCGTTTCTTGCGCGTCCCGGTCACGTCGCCGGACGGGCAATGCCAGAAAGTTTTTTTTTTTTTTTCCTTCAATTCACAAATTTTTTTCAAAAAAAATTACCCGTTATGAGATCGGCCCTTTTTCGCTTTGATTCTTCCGTGTTGCCATCAATTTTGGATCAAATTAGACCTCAAAATGGGGTTTAGAAGGGTGGTAGCTTCAAGTTTTCTCTCTTTTTTCCTTTGGTGGAAGTTTGAAATGTGAAGGGCAAAATGGCCCAAAAATATTTATGGTGGCTTCAATTAGTAAAGATGGTTTCTTCAAAAACTAACATCCAAAAGCAAGAGTTGTAGGCCTGACATTTTGCTAAGGCTATGTTTGGATCGTTTTTTCAGTGTGTGTTTTTAGTTGTTTTTGTATTGGAAATGTAAAAAGGTGCATTAAAAATGAAAAAAGTTATGTTAGAATGGGATAGTTATTATTTAATTATTTTGAAAAAACCTTCTAAATAGAGCCTAAGTTATTTTTGTAGACATCTAAAGGAAAAAGAAAGATGATAGTTGCTGTCAAATCTCGTAACTCTAGCTGAAGAGAAAAAAATACTTTTACTTGATAGGGCTTACATTAACCTGAGTGGAATGTATGAGATCATTTTTTTAGGATAGAATTGTTGAGTGTTCTTATTTTTTCAGTTGAGCGTCCTCCGAAAGATGGATACGCCCCTGCACAAAGAGGTATGTTTTTTTTTTCAAAAAAAAGGGGGAGGGGGGGAAGCGAGGGATAAATGCTCTAGCCGTTAACGGCTGGCACAAGAGAAACATGTGGAGTGGCGTGGAATAAACTCGCCTCCCTGTAAAGGGAGGCGAGACAACCTTCGCCTGAGGCGAAGGAGGTGGCGCCAGATTTGGCGTCACCTTTGTCCGGGTTGGCTAGCAAATGCTCGCCAACCAACCGATGCGTGGCACCCAACCCATTTTTTTTAATTTAATCAATTTTTTTTAATTTTTTAATATATTTAATTAACATCATTTATTTATTTAAATTATTAGTTTAATAAATTTATTTAATTTATGTATTTGTTTTATTAATTTATTTATTTTATCTGAGTATTTGTTTGGTAGCTTAATATTTGTTTAGAAAATTTATGTTAATTGGTTTAGTTAAATAGATAATCTATCTTAATAATT